GCAAGATAGATCCTCTCTGAAGCGGTGTACCTGTACTGAGTCTTTTCGGTTCTTAAGTTTGCATGTAGCCAACCATCTGTAGTATTCTTTTTGTATGTCCGGCATGCCTTGTATTAAGCGTTCCACAGGTATGCAAGATCTTAGAGCACCACTCCGTGGAGGAGTGGGAGCATCGGCAGGCCGAAATTTTAGGATCCTTTGAGCATAAACAATTTTTTGAAACAAATCATGTTGCAACACACAATGTTGATGTCCTTATAAAAGAATCAACATAATGCAATCTGCTAATTGGTAGACACTGTGACAATGCCTAATATGAAATGAATACTAATGTGAAATGATACTTTGAGGAAACGAAACAAAATACATCAAAAGCAGTACCAATCTTTGTAACTATACCAAAACCTTTGCAATTTTGAATGTAATACGTTGCTTGATGCAATTGTAGCAGTCAGGCATCATGGGTCAGGTTTTCCTTGTCCTACTGTCATCAGTTTGTGCGCACTTTGACATATACAGTAGAGCGCCGTTTATCCAAAAGTCGGTTATCTGAAACGTCAGTTATCCAAAAGAATTCCAGTCAGCAAATTTAAATTTTTGCTAGTGCTGTGGCGCTGCAATCTCTGGCTATATCTTGGGCTACTCCAATATTTTTTTTTTGTTGGTATGTGTGTTTTAGCTGGGAGCACTGGCACTTTTGTGTGGTGTTTTTCTGAGGACTGTGTGTCATGCTGAATCGAATGTTTTTGATACTAGATTAACTTCTAAAGTATAATTTTTTTTTGTTTTTATATTTTTCAATATATTTATTTTGTTTGTAAAAAATAAAGAAATAATTTTTAACAATACAACAGACATTATTATTATTTTAAAAAGTTTACATTAGGATTAACGTCGACGAAAATTCAACACAAAGCAACACGCAACGGAGAAAAATTTCAACATGGGATAGGTTAATATATATTTTCGTTCATAATCGGTTATCCAAAAAATAAGTTATCCGAACAACCCCAGTCCCCAATTGATTTGGATAAANCCACAGCTTTTGTAACCATAGTAATCAACTCCCCTTCTGTGTCACCTTGAGCAGTACAGGGTGATTCATCTTGTCGCTAATAAGACATTTTGTTATTTATTTCATAATCATAATTTACTTCAAGATGCATCATTAATTAATTATTTTTACCTTTTTATACCAAGCCAGAATTTCATCAATCAAAATTGCTCTCAGTAATGCCTGAACTCTAAAATTAGGCTGAACCAAACATCGAGCTGTGGCAATCATTGCTGCAGTCATAGGGCCACCAACACCAATGGGTGTGATAAATTCTGATATATTTGGAGTCAAACGGAAAGGAACAGGTCGATTGGCATCCAGTTCACCTAAGAAATAAACAGAAGAATTTAAAAACTAAATTATTATGTCTAATGAATAAAAATCACACTTTGTCAAAGATTTATTTTATTGAAATATTAAATGATTGCTAAATTTGTTAAGTTTTTTAATCATTATTTCTAACAAGGTATTTTATCACTAGTGGTAAACTGGCCCACTGAAAAATTCCCAATTTTCTGATGGGCTAGTATATTTCACTTGAGAAAAATAGTGCAATTTTATTTATTAATCTGTCTATCACATATTAAATTTTTAAAAAGTCTCATTCTAATATGTATGGTCCATATAAACAGTTAGATTGTATTTGTGAGATTCTGGAGCAATTCATTAGTTTAATTAAAGGGAAAACATTAATATGCAGTTAAATTTGAGAATTGGATAAAACACACTTTTTTCCACCACCTGGCCTTTCTGACCAATAGATAAGGCAATCAAATAACCATACAAATTGACAATTTTAACAATGTTTTGGATAAGTGTAGAGAGAAGCTAAACATATGGTTATTAATGAGGAGAGATGTCAAAATCAGTTAAATTATGAGGTAAGAAGAGTGAAATCGATAGTGATGTCTAAGAACTTCGAATTTGTTGCCTTATATGGTAAAAAAGAGTCAGAGCACCTGGCAAAAAGTATCAACAATCTGGCCAGGTCATCGAAGCCTTATTTATGGCCTGTATCAGTGACACATCTCAAACTTAGACCACATTAACCTATTCGATGTTGAAATTTTTATTTGTTGTCTGTGACGCCATGTTGAATTTTCGTCGATGTTAAGCCTAACAAAGACTATTGTATCGTTAAAAATTATTTTTTTACTTTGTAAAAACAAAATAAATATATTGAAAAATATAAAAATAATAAAAAATTATACTTCAGATGTTAATTTAGTATCAAAAACGTAAAATATTTGAATAGCCCAAGACATAGCCAAAGATTGAAGCTCCACAGCACTGGCGAAAATTTAAATTTGCCGACTGGAATTCTTTCGGATGATTGACGTTTTGGATAATTGACTTTCGGAAAATCGACGCTCTACTGTAGTTAAATCATGACCAGTTAGATTTAAATCTGACAAAAAGTATTAAATTTTTCATGATTATTATTGTATTTATTGGCTAGGTGACAACATTGTATAGCAAATCCAAACAAAAACATCTGAGATGTAAAAAAAATTTTGCCAAGTAAAAACTTACGACAATTTAGACGACAGTCAAAATCGCAGTACTACTTTTGCTGTCTAGTATTTTTGATTTGTCTACCTCTGCTGCTTTAATAGCAACATCAAGCTTATATCCCAATAATTTGGCAGTTTGTTTGGCTTTAATAATCAGGTTTATGAAGAAAAACTTCATATTCGTGTGTATCCTTGCCCAATTTGCATAATGCAATCATTGAAGCTACTGGGCATGGTTAAAAATTAAGACATCATCGGCGCAATTATTCAAGATATTACAGATTCTGACAAGTAAAGAATTTTCAGAGTTCTGCTGCAGATAGGCTACATATTGACTATTGACAATCTGTGACATGCCATAACAAGCAAAAATTAAAAAAAAAATAAGAAGCAGGTGTAAAATTAATAAATACAAATATATTCTGACAGTTTATGGGTTAATTATACTTTCTATTTTCAAAAGTTCCTCAACTTTAACAAGAAAAAAGTGAACTTTTAAGAAATTTGCGTGATTTCCCAGATGAGAAGAGTTAAAATAAACAGCTGAGATTCCAGGATCCCATTAGAGAAATCCTAGTACTTGCATTCTTTTAAATTTGTATTTACGTTCTTTTATTTTACATTCCTTTGTAGTCTGTAACTGAGGAAGATCAGTAAAACTCAAAGTCAAAAATGTTTTTATTTTTATTAAAATACAGCGGAACCTCGGTATACGACCTTAATCCGTTCCCAATGTTTGGACTTATACCGAATTGGACGTATACCAAACCAACCTTTCCCATAAGAAGTAATGTAAAAATGATTAATCTGTTCTTGTGTAAAAAAAAATGGCTGGCTTTAAACACCTAGCTTTCCTGGCTAGTTCCTGCTTTATTTCTCGTGAGATCAGCATGTATCTTTTTAGCTTTCTCGCAAATAATTGCTTCCAATATGCTGTCTCCAGCACTGTTTTTCAGTTATCCAAAGCAAAAGCAATTTCTCGACATGATCTAATGTCTTCGATCTCTGTTTAGAAATTGATTTAACCCCTTTTGCAACGTTAGCAGATTTAATAATGTCTTTATTTTTCGCGATTGTCCATATCATTGTTCTGCCAATATGGTAAACAACAGTTAAAATCTCGAACAAGCGTGCCACGTTATTTCTCAACAATCTCTTTCATCAGTTCCATTGTAATTCTAGTCATTTTTTTAGTTTTCTGTCGCTTTTCATTTGCCTATTTGGGATTCGTGCTTAATAAAAATAATAAAATTTTACTTACGAATTAAAATCAGAAGAAATTAAAGTTATAAACCATTGCACCGCGAACGTCTAGTCTGGTCTAGTACATCGATAGTGCTACTTGTTCATTGATGGTGCGTATAATTGAATTATGTCGTATACCGAACAAAAGTCGTATACTGAGCAAAATTTGTTTCGTCCAAACAGGATGTATTTCGAATTGGACGTATTCTAAAGCAGACGTATACTGAGGTACCACTGTAGTTGCTGGATTTATAAAGGCATGAGTTTTTTTATGAACTATTTCCTCTGGTTATTTTCGTAATTCATAGATATGCTTTAAAGTCAGAGATTCTTTGTACATTATGATAAATGATAAATCATCATAAAATAATTCTTTTTCTTTATTCTTGTACTTGGGAGATATTAGAAAATTTGTGTATTGCTTTGGAACTACCATATGGTTTATATATGTTTGTTTTTTGAATAAATTAATTTATTCTTTGTAAACATTGTAGTGGAATTAATATAGTGCATATAGTGATGTAATGCTGGAAACATCTGTTTTACACATTGATAGATATTAAAGTGAACACACTGTATACTATAGTAATTAGTGTAATCAGTATGCTCGTTATTATTCAAACTAATGCTAGCTAAGCTTGTTCAAATTACCACCACCACATTTTTCAGTTTGGTAGTTGCTTGCTGCTTTATAACAAATCTAAATAAAAAGTATGATCCCATGCTTGAATATAGAAATGTAAATATTGTAGAAACAATTTTGGTTATTATTGAATTTACTGCACACACTATCCAGCCTAGTATTCTAAGGATTCTTGCTGAATTTTAGTTCAGATTACTTAAAGTATAGTATAATACATTTCTAAATATGGTCGACCCCCCTATAACACTGTTAATTATTCCGTTTTATATGAATTCCATGTTGTACGAGTCGCTTAGATTTTACAAATACGTGAGCCGTTCACAGCCCGGCACACGTATTTGTAAAATCTAAGTGACTCGTACAACGTAGATTTCACATAAAAACGGAATTATCAACATTGTTATAGGGGGTCGACTGTAACCTGCTTTTAAATAAATAATCTTGATGATGATTGATTTTTATAATTTATATTTATTAAATTTAGTTATTTATAGAATTAATGTGTTTAAAATTCTAATAGAAGTATTTAAAATTTTTTTAGCCTTGATTCTGTTATGGATTTTGATATATTTGAAACTGATATTACGACTTTGAACAATGAAATAGACAGGTATGTACTTAATAATTTTCTCTTTAAAAGTATTCTATGGTTTGATTTTTAAAAATCTTTATATAAAATTTGAGTGTATTGATTTATTAAAAACTAAAATTATTATGACTGAATTTTACATTTAAAAAATTTGTGTAGACGCAACATACGCATGTGCGCACCCTTTTTTTTACGTAAAATTTTACTAAGGTTTAGTATTCATATTACTTTAAATTACTAAAAGTCAGCGTGTATGTATATATACACGATATCCTCAATGTTCAGGGAATTCGATCATTTGTGATGGGAAAATTTATGCATTGAAATTTCAACTTTCACAAAAGATTTTGACCATTCAGGAAGAGGGAGATTATGTATTACTGTAAACACGAGTTGGCACCTGCACAAACTGGATGTTCGAGCAGACGCAATGCTAAAAGATCACTGCACACACTCATTTGTATGGTGTCTATTGTAAGTTATGTTGCTGTTTTGTTTATCTTTTTGGGTTTGGCTTAAATAAAATGATTTTGTAGCTCTATAAACCATTGCACAGTATATTTATTTAATAAAACCATAAATTTTTCTGAACATTTTTTAAAACAGTAGTAATACATGGTTTTTGAATGAATTAGAAATTCAACATTGAAAATGGAACTCAAAGTTTGAGAAATTGATGTATATGAAGGATTACTCCAACCCAGTTATTCACAAACTTCAGTGTATATACATATATTACTAAAAATCTGTATATAAGTTAATGAATTTTAGAATTGATGAAAATTTAGATCAATAAACAACTTTAAATCTTATCAGTAATAATATTTATTGCTTACATTTATTAAATTTTTCTTAATACTATTTGAGACGTATTCAGAGTTACACATGGAAAAAGAAATATTCGAGCAAATTTGTTGTAGTTTTGATAAAGATTGATTAACCGTTTTATGAATTCAGTTGTAATTAGCATACAGTGGCATAGCGTGGGTGTCAGCTGCCCGGGGCGGAGGAAAATTTCGCTGCCCCCTTATTTTAGGTATCTCAATTTAAAAGACTAAAATTCAGTTTTGTCACAGAATAAGTAATGAAAAATTCCGTGCTCATTTCAATCGGTAGGTGCGAATAATTTTAGTAGTACAAGTCTATTCCCCCTATAACACTGTTGATAATTCCGTATTATATGGATTCCATGTTGTACGAGTCACTTAGATTTTACAAATATGTGAGCTGTTCACAGCCCGGCACACATTTTTGTAAAATCTAAGTGACTCGTACAACATGGAATTCATATAATACGGAATTATCAACAGTGTTATAGGGGGGTTGACTGTATAAAGTAAAAATCACTTGTCTTTAAAAACATGTATATTTGATGACATTTTCTTGTTCTCTGAAGTACTGAATTGTAATAGTTATTAGAGAACTTCAATCAACAGAAATGTCAGAGGTTTTAAATATTTATTAATTAATTTATATACATAAAATGATTAATTTTATCAATGTAAGTTTTTAAAATATTTTTATAATAGAAAATTGTTAGTCTGCAATTAAGATTATTATTATTATTAATTATGCATATTGTTAATTATCAAACAATCTGAAATCACTGGATTTTCAGTCTCTATTAGGGACAGTTTTAATTATTACTATTATTTGACCTAAAGATATGCAGTTGAGCTGCTACCTCATATAAGTTTATAATAGGTAGAAATTAATTTTGAATTTTAATTAAATCATTTATAAAATTACCTAAAAAGTTTTTTTATTAATTTGTAACAGTCGTAAGCAGCCCGCATTGTTCTAAAATGCAACCGTTGGGCTTTGGCAACTTAATTTCATTTTCCTATTTTCTATCTTGTCTTTACGTGCCGTTAATTAACCTGATATTCGCGAAGAACAACATTAAAAGTAAACTTCATCAGTTTGAAAAGATGGGAATAAACTGAATATCATTGGCATGTATTATTTTAGTGCCTACTGTACTAATAGTTACGGAGTGTGTTGATATTCAACAGGCGTGTAGTTCCGTAGTAAATAAATGCATGTGGCCTGTCAGAAGCCTATGAAGTTCACTTCTGGCCCACATCTAGAAAAGATTTGTGCATCACTGATCTATAAGATATGATTAAAGGTTTTTCGTATTTTTAGTATGATATAAAAGCTTAAATTAATAAAATTTTCGAATTAATGATTAATATATATATATATATATATAAGTATTTGAAGACGCAGATATCTAATATTAACAAAATAATTTATTATATCTTGATTTTTATTCACAGTTTATATTTGTATGTTCTTTGTACATTAATTTGCTGGGTTTGCAGTTATTTCAGATCAAATTTAAATAAATTATTAAACTGATTAATGTATAATTTAACTTCGTGTAGATTAATTTATTCTTAGCAATGCTTCATTGATAACTTATATGAATTTCAATTATAAACAATAGGATTTTTTGTTGTTAATTTTAGAGAGATTATTTATTACAGAATTGTTATTAATACATAAATTGATTTAAGTAACTATTAATTCAAGAAGATATCTTTTCATGGTTCAGTAGGTGACATATTACTGCTCAAACTGCTTGCCCAGGCTGACTACATCGATAAACATCGTTTTCAGTTTCTCGATGTAACTTAGTTTACTAGTAATAATTAACGCAGTATTTTAAAAAAGTTTTTTAAATAAAATCTCATAATAGATGGTGCCGTACAATTTTCTCCTGTTTGAGTGCCAGGAAAGATGCGCGAAAGCTTTTACCGACTTGTTTTTACTGTTGTCTTTTTTGAACTTAACATTTTTAGTGTAAAAAAATATGTGAACTTTAGTTATTGTTGGTCATTAAAGTTTTTCATGAAGAAATAGTAATGTTTTGATGGAAAATATGATAAAATATTTCTATATGAGTGTGTTTTTCTGACTTTTTATATAAATAAACGTGATTGAACTTTAATCAGAACACATGCGCGACTTAACTAAATAATATAATTAATTTTTTAAATATAAAGTGTTTTAAGACGTCGGTAATCTGATTTAGAAAAAAATAAGAGTTAATAGCATTGCTATAATAATAATAATAATAATAATGTTTGCTCTTCAGGTTAGAAAGAATGAATTTTTCTAGTTGTTCAACTAGTCCTGTACATTCAATAAGCACTGCAAGTTCTGAATCCGGTGATGTCTCGTCATTTGAATATTTCAGCGGATTAGATGAAGATTATAAATTTGTTTCAAATCAAGATCCCGTTCTTGCTGGAGTTGTAATAGATGATGATATTTATAAAGGTAATCGCACTCTATTAAGTTAATTATAACACACATTTACATACAGAAAATATTTATTATTCGTAAATTATGTTAAAGTGTAACTTCTTGTAATTTGAAAATACGGATGTATTCTGTCAGAATACATCTTTAAATTTTAAAAATAAACTTATTAAAGATGATTAATTAAGCAGAGTTTCCACTTGCGTTTCTTCCATAATAATCCTGCAAATTGTTTTCTAGAAATTTGAATAACGTCTGTTGATACTATTGGAATGATGCCAGGATTCCAAGATAGGTCATAGTCTGATTAATAAATTATTTGCTGATCTTATAATATCGTGTACCTCTCCCTCTTTGAAATTTAAATATCAATAGCTATTCGAAATAAAACTTATATAGGTTACAGTAATGTAAGATTGATGATTTACTACTGAAGCAGTTACTAAGCAGCTATGAATTGTAGGATATAAACCACGCAGTTTTAATATTTGATAATTTAATTGAAGTTATTTAATAATGAATTTTAAATAATAGTTTTTGTTTAAAAACTAAATTAGAATTTATGTAAACAAAAGTCATTTTGACGTCAAAATGACTTTTTACGAACTTGCTTTCATGCAGAATAATTTCTTTTTCAAGATGATTTTCAAGTATTATTTAAAAAAAAACTATTTTAAATATATATATATTTTTTTATTATAGATTATTTTGGTATTACACTCGCAAGGGAACTGTCGGAGTGTCTTCTAATAAATTTTAATAAAATTTAGTTAATAACTACGTTAAAAGTATACAAACTCTATTTTAAATTTGTAGCATTCACTAAAAGTGTTGATCAGAGTTATTAGCAATCAAATGTTGCACTACTTTATAGTAGTTTAGCACAATTACGCAAATTTTTAGAAGTGAAAGGATTGCGGAGGAAGACGGCGATATTACATTTAGAATAAATTCTGGAATTTTCAAAAATGGTTGAAGAATTAATAAAATTTAGTTAATAATTATGTTAAAAGTATACAAAATTTTATTAATTCTTCAACCATTTTTGAAAATTCCAGAATTTATTCTAAATGTAATATCGCCGTCTTCCTCCGCGACCCTTTCACTTCTAAAAATTTGTGTAATTGTGCTAAACTACTATAAAGTAGTGCAACATTTGATTGCTAATAACTCTGATCAACACTTTTAGTGAATGCTACAAATTTAAAATAGAGTTTGTATACTTTTAACGTAGTTATTAACTAAATTTTATTAAAATTTATTAGAAGACACTCCGACAGTTCCCTTGTCAGTGAAATGTAATATTGAAAATAAAATTTTAAAGTTGAAATTATATAATCATGTTTTAATTTTTAATAAAAGTTGAAAAACAAAGATAAAAATAATATAGTAATTCAGATATATTTCAAAATCTCTCATATATTTTTTTTTTTTTATTATTAGATTGATTCATAAATAAGTTCTGTTTTAATTAAACTGAATTTTTACATTTAAGAAACGTTACGATGGTATACATTCGCTATACATTCTCTGTTGTTACGTACATGTTTCCATTTAGATAATTCTTTCTTTGAAGAATTTTGGGGATTACGATGCAAAAAATTTAGTTTTACAAATTCGTTTTGATTCAATAACTCAAGTAGTAGTTCAGTAATCATCTATAACAGAACTTATGAATCAATCCAATACTTTTAAACTTACAAAACTAAATATTTTTTGTATGGGAATTATTTTTAAATTGCTTGCTACTTTAATTTTATATTAAATTTTATTTATATATTCAAAGACTTTTAACATTAGCTGATTGAAAATGAATATTAACAGTTCAAAAATAGTGTTTGAAGAATGATGGAGGAGATTGATATATTGTAGTTTGTTTAATTTTCGACACTACTGTTTATCCTTTTGTTTTCTATGGAGAATCATGACACCAGAATGTACGGAATGATTACAAAATTTCCTTTTTTAAAAACTATCATTGTACTTTGTAGATTGCAGAAGATCTTTCTAAAAAGAATGGGTCAAAACGTTTACTGTGAAATAAAAGTTAAAGATTTGCCATTCTAATCTTATGGTTTTTCATTAAAAAAAAAAAAAGGGGGAGAAAAGAAAACAAGTTTTAAATCTTACTTTATGAATCGAATTATAACATTAATTAAACCAGAAATACATCGTAAATTTAGAAAACTAAAAAAAAACGTGTTTTTCGAATCCCACATTTCTTCTGACTGACAAAGACTAAGCAGACAAGAATACATCCAATATAGTTTATTAACACTTTTAATGTAAATGCATTTCAGGTTTTAGTCCCTCTCCAGTACATGCTATAAAATTAGAATTAACATTGATATGTACAGTGCATCCCAAATTCTTTAAATTACATTGCATACTTGGATATCTGTAAGTGATTTTTTTGCAATATCTTAGTGTTGTTTTGACACTTAAGAATTGCAAAAACTGTGTGTTTGTGCCTAAAACATCATAATAAAGACAGCTGTAAAGCCTGGTGTCCATCGAATGCGCTTCATTGTGCGTTAAGGATAAACATAAATAAAAGACACGGTTTCAAATTGGAAGAATATTTTGAAAATGTGTTAAATGAAAGCAAAATGTTTGATTAAATATTATCATCTAGTCTTGTATCTTTCAGATCTTGCCCTTCCTAATTTTTCTCACAGTCCAGTTCCAAAACAAACATACAATGATAGTAGCAGTGAGTTTTCCAACATAGTTAACGTTTCCGAACGATCCTACTCGGACTCTCTATCAAATTCTTGGTAAGTTAAATATTAGAGTATTTATTAATCGCGTAAACATAAAAATTTATAATTACCGTCATTTAATTTTTACCTAATAATTATAATTTTGTGTGTGTTGTATTTTTATCTAAATCAATTATTTGGTTAGTGATTGTTGTTCCTCTATTCTATATGAAAAATTTATATTTTATATATAAAACAAAAGTGGTCAAAACCATAATAATATACCATATAATTACAATACTGAAGTTTGAAGTGAATTAGAATGAAGTTCTCTGGAATAATGAAACAGCTTGACTCTGACTCCCAAGAAGTAAATTAAAACATAACTAAAAAGAAAATGCAATTCTTAGCATACAAGATTGAGTTAATAATAATATATTATTTGAAATTTACTATTAAAAAGATTAGTTTTTATCTAATTTTAACACTTGAGAAGTTAATTTAAATTATTATATGATTAAATTGTGTAACTATATCTTATTTAAATTATTTTAAAGGTTATTTTCATATAAAATTATTTTTTATATTCGATGAAGGGTGGCCCAGTGTTTCGGGGATCGATCATTCATAAAAATTTTTAGCATTGCTTACTCATTCGATCTTATGCCCTCGTAACAGTTGACTAATGCCTTAATCAGCTTGGTTATCTGGCTGTCAAGAATGTTCAATAAATTTGTAGCTGAACTTTAAAAATTCACTCATTTAACAGACGTAGTAGAATCATGATACGATATTCAGATTAATCTTTTAGTATTCTCTGAACGTGTTCTGCTTTTTATCAACTTTTTTACAATTTAAAAAAATTTTAGATCTGTCTATATTACTAATAAAATCAATATCTAATAGACATTTCTAATTTTATATAAAGTTTTTAAAAAATACAGTAAAAGAATATTTGGCATTGCCTTTTTAGCAATTATATATACAGTAGAGCATCGATTATCCGACTCAATTGGGGACTCGGGTTGGTCGGATAACTGAAAAGAAGGGAAAAGATACATTATTAGTTAGTATATTAGGATATTAGTATATCCCATGTAATTAGTTTATTGGTATATCGCTATTAACCAACTTCACATTGAATTTTCATCGATGTTTAGCCTAACAAATTTTTTTTAAAAATAATAATCGTCGCTATTGTATTGTTAAAAATTATTTTAAAATTGTTTTATTGCTGACGAAACAAACAACCACTCATAATTAGAAAATTAAGTCTCGTTTAAATACTGCCCTCCCTTCAATGGTCGAGCCATTGATGCCAGCTAAAACACGCAAAAATTTAGCAAAAATAATATTAAAGTAGCCAAGACATAGCCAAATATTGTAATGCCACATCACTAGTGGACATTTGAAATTTGCCGACTAGAACGTTGTTAACCGATGTGACAGTTCATCAGGGGTCGGATAATCGATGCTCTACTATATATATATATATATATTTATTAATAATGCAATGAATATTCGGTTACTATTCAATATTCAGCCTATTCGGCCAAATACCGAATACCTAAAAACAGGAGTAAGAAATAACAAAAACACAGTAAATTAATCATTTTGGTATTTAGATTTAATNCAGATGTGATTTTCATTACCTTAACTGTTTGAGTCTTTTTGACTCTTAGCTAAGATTATGTCTACTGTAGACCTGTTGAAGCCATACTGCTTAGCAACATTAGATATCTTCTGCCCACTCTCTACCGTAGCTATTATCTCTTGCTAAGTTTCTATAGTGAACACAGTTTTTTGACACTCCACTCTTTTTAGGCCCCATAATAATATCAGAATTTTTAAGTAGAAAGTTCAGAAAAGCACTTACAGAAATTCAGAGAACGGAAATCAACTATTGCAAAAAAAAAGTTATGTATAGAATTTTGAAAGTCTCGTTCAATACACCATTTATAGATGCCAGTGAAATATAGTTTTACAAATCTTAAACGCATCATTGCTTTTCCTTGTATTTGTTATCTAAACATGTGTTTGTTGTCCAAACAAAAAATCTTTAGCAAAAGTGTTCATTGTCCAATTTGTTCACAGTCCGAACTGTTCATTAACCAATCACCCACTGTATATCTCATGAAATATATAGTTTGAATGTGATATTAAAGATTTTAATCAATTAAGAAGTAAGAATATATAAGAAATTTAATTTACATTCCAAATAGTAATATATATATATATATATAAATAGTAACACTTGTTAACTTGTGAATTTCTTTCATAATTGGTTTGTGTACTAAAGTAGAAAATCAATTATTTTTTCATATGAAAATTAGTTATTTGTGAAAAATCCTTTTATTTTGATCTTTATAAATAAGACGGAATATTATAAAATGATAACAAGTAGGCAAGATTGATTATGTAAAATTTGTAAATAAAGATAATATTTTGTCGGTTAAATAAAATAAAACCGTTTATTATGAAAATGTTCCTCTCTTCTGTGATTACATATTTTCTTCCGATTTGAAAATTGTATTATATATTGTATTAGGAATATTTATCTATTGAGTTACAATGCAAAAAAAAACATAATTTTATGATGATAATTATTCATAAATTTAAAAATTTGTTAAAAATAGTTAGTAAATTATTACTTTTGATTAAAGAGCATAAAATTCTCTTGCATTTGATGTTAATTGTATTTCTGTTGTTGATAATTATATGTAAGTTCTTTTTTTCACATTTTAAATTACTATTTGCTCTGTTTGAGAGAGAGATGAAAATTCATAAATCTTAGACTTAGTAAGTTTCAGTTTTATCAGAGATTATTATAGATTTTGTAGAGAATATAATCTTTCAAATTAAAGTGTCAATATGGTGGGATGTGTGATACAAATGCGTGTATGAAAGTTTTATATTTACTTAGTTTAACTGCTGTTTATAACAAATCTTGATAATACAAAATTAATTGAATAACGATTAAACAAAATTGTTTTTATGTAGGTCTAGAGCCATAAGTAAAGAAAGTTTAGAAACACTTGAAGCTTTAACTCAAATTATTAGTTGTAAAATGGGATTGAGAGAGCAATTAGAAGTCATTAGGATTATTAATCCTACAGCTGTAATAACTCCTACAGATAAAGAATTTACTATAGGTAAGAATTATATTAATGATTATAGCTTTTCTATATTAATGATTATATTATTTTCTAAAAGTAAAATTAGATAGGATTAATAAAAAAAAAATTTTGTGCGTAGACTGATTATTTTGATAAATTATTAATTAATCTGTTTGTCCCTTATACATATAAAATAATAATTGCTATAAATTTTATTAATACCTAATACTAAAGCAATTACAATTTCATGACCACAAAAAATGCAAAAGAGAATCTTGAAGTAATAAACAAAATCTCTTTAAACATACATTTTAAAATTTTGTTATATGGATTTGATCTGACAATTTTAAAATTTAAATTAAGTTACTGAATAAACTATTAATTTCAGATATAACTGATTAAATTTTCAATTCAAACATGATTTATTCTAAATATTTCTTGGAGGGGATATTTTTGTTTGCTAAAACGTTATCAAACGGTTGTATATCAAGACCATAAACAAAAAATTCTATAATACATTCAATGTAAAGTTTCAATAAATATATCAAACTTTTTAAATTTGCTTAAAAGATATATAATGTTATAGGATCGTTAGTTTTTAAAACAGTTAGAGAAAGAAGGTATTGACGAAGCATTAAAAAATTTAAGAAATGTAAATATATTAAAGGAATTGCTTTGTAAAAGTTTTTTCCTTCGAAAGGAAAAATGGCATAACAAGGAATGATGCCTAAGAGACAAAAAAAATATTTTAAAGTGACAAATTAAATAAGTAACAAAATGATTACAAATAGCTCAAACTCATAAATTTAGAATCAATCTTCCATCATTAAAATTATCCATTTTTACATTATTTATACTGAAATGCAAATTTAGGGCAACTGAGAGGTATTTATCAATAGGGAATGCCTTCTGACAACAGCTGCAATCTGTTTTTTTTTTTTTTTTTTCTTTTTATTTGCTTTTTCTTCTCTGATCAGTTATGTCCTGCAGCCAATTGTTTTATTTTTTGATCTTGGTAGTGGTATTTTTTAAATCCATTATTGTTGAATATACTCCCAAGTGGTAACATTCAGTTACTATTTTTAAACATCTGTGCCAAGCCTTTAAATTATTCATTCTTGAAGGTGATTATTATTCCACAAATTGTGGAAATTATGGTGGATTACACAGTTAATTCAGTAGTGGTCTTTCTCTCTCGTGAGGTAATCAGTCTCCCCAACATACAGGTTTATCCAGAATATTTATACACTGGTTTAACTTCATTTAATGTATTGTTAGAGAGAGCTTCTGGAACATTAGTTTCTGGAATGTTTGTAGGAGAGCATTGATGCTTACCAACTTGGATTAAGACATAAAACTGATTATAAATTAAATTTAAAATATACTAAACCTGTTTTCGCTATCAAGTATATGCACATTATATATTTAATTATAGATTAACATAGTCACATTTGTGATATATCACATTTTTGTTACAGTAATATTCCAGTCACATTGCTTTGCCACTCTTTTGTTGTTCATTGTGTCACCTACTTTGATATACAGTGGAAGATTGGTTAACAAACATAATCCATTCAAAGACAATGTTTGCTACCCAAAACGTTTGTTAACCGATTATCGATTTATCATAGATTTTTATGGGAATTTGATTAATTTGTTCTGGTGACCCCAAAAAATAAATGAATAATTATATCATTTCTTAACATATTTATTTGCATGTAATAACAAACTAAAAGCAATCTCTTAATTGTTTCATTGATGGCACATCTTTGTTTCTCAGATGTGATTTTCATTACCTTAACTGTTTGAGTCTTTTTGACTCTTAGCTAAGATTATGTCTACTGTAGACCTGTTGAAGCCATACTGCTTAGCAACATTAGATATCTTCTGCCCACTCTCTACCGTAGCTATTATCTCTTGCTAAGTTTCTATAGTGAACACAGTTTTTTGACACTCCACTCTTTTTAGGCCCCATAATAATATCAGAATTTTTAAGTAGAAAGTTCAGAAAAGCACTTACAGAAATTCAGAGAACGGAAATCAACTATTGCAAAAAAAAAGTTATGTATAGAATTTTGAAAGTCTCGTTCAATACACCATTTATAGATGCCAGTGAAATATAGTTTTACAAATCTTAAACGCATCATTGCTTTTCCTTGTATTTGTTATCTAAACATGTGTTTGTTGTCCAAACAAAAAATCTTTAGCAAAAGTGTTCATTGTCCAATTTGTTCACAGTCCGAACTGTTCATTAACCAATCACCCACTGTATATCTCATGAAATATATAGTTTGAATGTGATATTAAAGATTTTAATCAATTAAGAAGTAAGAATATATAAGAAATTTAATTTACATTCCAAATAGTAATATATATATATATATATAAATAGTAACACTTGTTAACTTGTGAATTTCTTTCATAATTGGTTTGTGTACTAAAGTAGAAAATCAATTATTTTTTCATATGAAAATTAGTTATTTGTGAAAAATCCTTTTATTTTGATCTTTATAAATAAGACGGAATATTATAAAATGATAACAAGTAGGCAAGATTGATTATGTAAAATTTGTAAATAAAGATAATATTTTGTCGGTTAAATAAAATAAAACCGTTTATTATGAAAATGTTCCTCTCTTCTGTGATTACATATTTTCTTCCGATTTGAAAATTGTATTATATATTTTATTAGGAATATTTATCTATTGAGTTACAATGCAAAAAAAAAAATAATTTTATGATGATAATTATTCATAAATTTAAAAATTTGTTAAAAATAGTTAGTAAATTATTACTTTTGATTAAAATTTGTTTTTATTTTTCTTTCAGATCTAAAATATCTTGACGAAATAAAATTACAGCGCATTAAAGATTACGTTCAGAGCCAGACACTAAATAGATCAAATACAGAAAATAATTCTAGCAGAAATAAGTTCAAGGGCAGCTCTTCATCAAAATCAAGCTTGAACTCCGTTTGTAGTTCTAATTCTCTACTAGGAAAAATGAAATCTACAAAGGTAGATTTACCGTTTACCAAATAATAAAACTTTTAAAAATTTTTATTCTCGTCACTTATACGGTGTATTGTTATTTCTTAATAGTCAAAAGAAAGACGTAATCAAATGAAAGCATTGAAAATCCGTCAGAAGAAAGAGTACCGGCAACTCTTGAAAGAGAGAAGAAGCGGCCTGTTTCTACAGGAAGAAGTTCTCTCGCTTAGCAGGCTGTCGCAAAACGACGACGACGACGTCGATATACTGGAATAACTTTTAGAAAAATTATAATGATTGAAAGCATTTAAATATATATTCAATATAATTAACAAAGTATATTGTTAATTATTTAAGTAACTCGTTTTTTATGCTTAAAATAATTTAAAATTAAATCCTTCTTTTGTGAATAAATATTTATTTATTTATCGCGTTGTTTTTAAATTTTTTTTTTTCTTTTTTTAATTTAAAAATAATATGATTAAAATATTTTAAAATACTTAATTTAAAAAGAAGAGTTTAAAAATTAATGCGACGAGATTCAGTCAAACAAATTTGTTATTTAAGCGAGAAATTACGGAACACGGTATCGCGTTTAACATTTTTGTATTTTAATTACAATTTTTACTGTTTATAACATGTATCAGACTATTGACGAGTACGTCGCGTACAGTTGAATTGCTTCGATAAAAATGAATTTAATGTTTTTACAAGTACTTTATATATACATATACACGTACAGAAACGAGAAGGAAGAAAGTTAGATATTGTAGTTTAGTCGATTACCAATGAAAATTTATTTATTTAATTTGTATTATTTCTAAATGCTTTCACTCATTATATTTAATATCTTGATTTTGTAAAATTGCTTGGGTTATAATAATTGTCAAGTAGTCAGTTTAATATTTAAGTGAAGAAAAAAAAAAGCGGATCCTATGCTTGTATACTTTTGTAAGTAACTTTCTATGAATTTGGTATTAATTATCTTATTTACAATTTTCCTCAGAAGGTAAAATTGTTCCTAAACATGGAGATTTGTAAATATGAAATTGTTTTTTGCAGTTTTTATAAGTTTTTTTTTTTTTATCATCCGACATGATCAGTTTTTGTTCTTACTATTTCGTAATGAATTTGTATTTGAATTAATATCTCTGTTGTACATGATGCACATTTTATCAATCAAAATGAATTTTCCAGTATAAAATAATTTTTTTTTTTTTTAATTATTGAACATGTTTGCTATTGTTACATTAGATGAGTATAAAGTGCCTTAAATAAATATAACAAATATTACTTGTAAATGCCATTTTATTTTCCACTTTATACAAAATAAAAAGCTATTTTTGTAGCCCACGAAAATTGTCTAATAAAAGAAATATTTAATGGATATTTTTATTTTATTGTAGGATTCAATAAATTTTTTTATAAAGGAAAACACCGTTCTAACCAAGAGATTTTGCGATTTTTCCCATGACAATTGCTAATCCACTGACGTTGTCAAGCACGAAGAAGAGAAAAGGATGCTTAAATTGAACAGTTGGAAGATCGTTTGATTGTCTGGATGATCTGTAATCAATCTGATGGATCTCTATGTTAATCTTGTGAATGATGTTTGATATATGCAACCAAGGAAAATCACTGATTCCATATAAATTAGCATATCCTGGCATAAAGAGGTCTGTCAGTCCAGCATCCAATAGGGCTTTTGTCAAGTTCTGATGATTTTGTTCAATGACGATACGTGGTACCTGAAACACAAATGTTAAAAGTTCATTTTTTACATGGAATAATTTCAAAATTCCCCCTTTCGATTATATTATATTCTTTTCTATAGGAAAGTTTTATGATCACGAAACAGGAAGGAAAACAAAACATACCGGAATTTAGCGATAGTAATTTTTTTTTTATATAGGAAGTATACAAGTTCTCTCCCCCTTCCCAAAATAGGTACTAGACCTTGGTTTTGCAATTGTAATTACGCTATCAGCTCTAAAACATTCGTTTACAATGTATAACTCCAATAATATCTATAATCTTTTGAAAACGAATTTATCAAAAATAGTTCATCAAGGATCCTTAAATAGATACAATAGGACAATATAATAGGGTGTAATTTTAACTTCCTTTTTTTAAGGCTATTTTTAAAATTGTAAAAGAATAATTTACCTTTAGATTAATCTGTTGAGCCTCTAAAGTATTGAGGATATCATTGAGTCGCTGGGCACTAATTCGACTTTCTAGAAGACCGAGTCCACCGGCAGTTTCTGGAACTAATGCTAAAAACGACATATCACCTCCCCTGAATGGTATCTCCACTGCAACACAACCGAGATAGTCGTATTTTCCGTATCTCACTTTAGTTTTTTTCATATCAGCCCTAGAAGAGAAGATGGCACGAGATCCCACGTAATCTCTCGATCTGTTGGTTTCTCTGAAAACAGCCGGATCAAAAATTCCTCTGAAGTACAAAGCGCTCAGAACCAATAAACTAGTGCTGTGTGGAGGAGTTGCTAATAAGATATCTTTTATTTTACCATTAGTCTGCTTCTCCACAATGGCATTTATATGCTCCTTAGTCTCTGGTCCATTGAGTATGAAGTCGATCGGATGTAAGGTCGTGTTGTAGAGTCGTTGTAAGTACATCAGATAAGGATAATGTATGCTAAAATCGCGCTGGACGTACAAACTATGGAAAAATATCAAAGAATTATTTGCTAGAGATTGGGGATCATCTTTCTTTTCACCAGTTATAGCGTGAAGATTTTCTCTTAGGTGAATGAGTAAATCTCTGAAGGCTGCATGAGTCTCGTGGGATCTCATTCCCCATAAGTATAGAGCTTGACGTAGTGCCACTTCAGTATTTCCTCTCGCACCTAGGAGCATGGTAGCCAAGAGCAAGCTAACACCAAACGGGCACACCGCAGCATCCATCTTGTTAGGAAAGTCCATGGCTCGATAAAGATCGAAACCAAATTGATTTATGGAAAATGCTAGTTTTCGCATGGTAAATGACACCACTTGTCCATCAGTTACCATCAAAGACATTAAAATAACGGTCGAAAGTAATATATGTGTCGTCTTCATCCTATCATTAAAAGATATAAAATAAAATATATTAAAATATTTAATTATAATTAAATATTACAAGAGAGGAGAATCAATATATTTTTTTTAAACTTAAAACTTGATCGATTATTCGTGGAAGATTGCTTTGAAAAATTCAAAAACATACCTTTTTATATGGGGTTCTGAGAACGTACTTGAATCTTCTTCATCTAACGAGATAATAGTTATCGATCGATAAATGAAGAAGTTAAGAAGATAGGATATGGCCGATTGGTTGTCGGCATTGGCTCCACCAAAAAAGAAATGGGTCACATGACGAGAGGTCATTGTGTTAGCGGAACCACAGATAAAGGAAATCTTTATACTTCAATAAATATCTTAATATAATAAAGATATAAATCTGATTTGATCGGAAACGTTCGTGAATCGTGAAAGGACTTCATTGTTCATGCAATTATGCCATTGTATAAATGAAAATATGCAAAAAAAAAAGTTCAATGGATACAAAGCTTCATATTTTAATTCTTATGTAAGACACTACTTTCTAGTTTATATATTTTTTTTTATTGCTGAAGCTATAGAGAAGAATTGTAGAGGAATATTGAAGAATTAAGTAATTATATAAATCAATAGCACAACTAGTATTTTGCTCTGGAGGATGATCTAAAAAATACAGTAGTATTCTATTCCTAAAGTCTGGTGTTTCCAACACCCAGACACCCCCCTAAGTATGCTAGTGATTGTAATGGAACATATGTAAAATATTCATAAGGCATTAAATATATAAATTGTAAGTACGGTAAAACCTGAATAAAAAGGAAAAAAAAAAATATTCGATATCGTGAGATTCCGGCTTACACAGGTTTTACTGTATCTTGTTAATATTTGTAATTTATTTCTGGTAACGACAAAAAACTGTGTTAATTAAAAGGAAAGACTTTATTAACATCACCGGAGGATCTAACATAAAATCAAACTTCCCTCCTCTAGAGATTTTTTAGGGCATTTTTCTATTAACAACAAGGATAATCCTTGATTATGTATTTAAGGCATGCAATTTTCTGGAATTATAACACTAAAGGAAGTTAAAGAAAAATAAATTTCGAAATTTAACCCGGTTAATATAAATAAATCCTATATAATAATAATAATAATAATCGACTAATCTAATATAGTTTCGGCGAAATTTATAATAATTCCTTTGCAACATATAACTATTTTAAAAAGTTAGTTGAAGGTTCTTGTTTTTCGTCATTAGGTCAGCCATATTGTCATTTAAATTGCTTAATAGAAATAGCATTTAAAAAATAAATAAAAAAATAGGATATTTTACTGGAATGTTCCGTGATAATTGTGATTCGTTTCGTCCTAATTCGTTTTGTTCATTGTCATAGTCACCCACAGAAACAATTTGCAATATTATGGGTATCAAATGCATTCTTTGTGTGGTCGCGACCTATTTTTGATCAATGGCAAATAATTTATTCCCAATTGTTTTTTGGCATTTTGTTCCGAATTAATAGGTCGATATTTAGTATGAATGATTTAATCCTAATAAAGTGAACTGCCAGTTTAGAGCCTTGTATTATGAGTCCATAGCTTACAGCCTCACATTCTTTCATGTACCATTATATTTGGTGAAGAGGAAGGGCCTGTTATATGTTATACTTTAAGGCCCAATCTGATGATAAATTTTGGTCTCGAATATAACAATAGCGTTAATGCATTTGGTAGTTAATTAATCATTTACAGCATAATGCAGTAGGATATACAGTATAATTAATACAGTCGACCCCTATAACACTGTTGATTATTCCGTTTTATATGAATTCCATGTTGTGCGATTCACTTAGATTTTACAAATACGTCAGCCGTTCACAGCCCGGCACACGTATTTGTAAAATCTAAGTGACTCGCACAACATGGAATTCATATAAAACGGAATAAGCAACAGTGTTATAGGGGGGTCGACTGTAATTATAAATATTAGATGAATATTTTATAGATTTTTTTTTAGCAAAATAATACGTTAATTTTTGTA